TCTTCTAGGTTTTGCCTAATTTCTTACAGTCTATACTGGCTTGTGTTTTATATATACAGTAGTTCCCCCTTATCCACGGGGGATACATCCCAAGAGCACCAGTGGATGCCTGAAACTGCAGATAGTACTGAACCCGATATATATATACTATGTTTTTTCCTGTACATACATACATTCCTATGATAAAGTTTATAAATTAGGGACAGTAAGAGATCAACAATAGCTGATAATAAAATAGAAAAATTATAACAGTATACTGTAATAAAAGTTACTGTGGATTTTAGCAATCTCAGCGTACTATTTTTTTTTCTTATTAAGTCGAGAACTTTCACCTTTTCACTTAAAGGAAGCACTTTACAGATTCTCTTTGGCATGTCCAAATTGCCAGCATTACTACTCTTGTGCTTTGGGGTCATTATTAAGTAAAATAAGAATTACTTCAACACAAGCACTGCGATACCGCCACAATCAATCTGATAACCAAGATGGCTACTAAGTGGCTAATGGGCCAGTAGCGTATATAGCGTAGGTATGCTGCAGTCTAGGCGGGAGGGAGCAGGATGGTGTGAGATTTCATCATGCTACTCAGATTGGCACACAATTTAAAACATGAATTGTTTGTTTCTGGAATTTTCCATTTAATATTTGACCCACAGTTGACTGCAGGTAACTGAAATTGCAGAAAGTGAAACTGCAGATAAGAGGGGACTACTGTATATATATATTTCTCTATGGAAAACTGGCTAGACTGTATATAACATATTCCAAATTCTTTTCAGTGTTTATGGAATTATGGATTTAAAGAAATAACCATCAGTAATGAGATTGAGCAGATAGTAGGCCTAACAAAAGCCCAATTGAGGAGCCTACATTTCAACTCTTGCTGTCACAATTCTTGTTTATTATTTTTGTTAGGGTTATTGCTGCTGTTGTTCTTAATATTGTTTCAGAACCTTGTGATCAGTTTTAAAACATTTGATGCAAAGAAATCCTACCCATCCACAGGCTTATTTCAAATAATGTAGTGTTGTAGAATTAATGGAAAGAATTCATATAATAGTTCTACTTGGGTTTTGAAGTTTGTTTTTTAATCTCCAACCACTCATTAATAACAAGAAATGAGATCAAGAATTTTGGTTTTCTTAGGAGAGGGACTGCATTAAGATATTAAACTCTGGTATTTCGGTAAAGGCTATTACAGAAGAATTCCACCGAACAGTAGTGTGGTCAACTCAGAATCAATAAAAGTTTTATAGTAACTCTTATTCTCATAAATAATAGTCCTCACTCTCTTTACCTGCTGAGCACATCCTCTCAAGAGGAGCTCCTGCTTACCTTCTTTTTATTTACGTGAACAAGAAAACTGTCCTAAAGGAATTACTGTGATGTTGCTTAAGGGATATGACCTAGGACTTCCCAGCTTTTAGAAAACTTTCTTTAATAAAGCACAGCTTTGCTTTGTTTTCAGTATGGCATTTCTCTTATTTAGTGATTTCCTGGCCCTTCTTTCTCAAAACCCAGGAAAATAACTTTGATCAGTAGATTTTTTTAACAACACCAAGAAAGAGTAGGGAGGGGCTTTTCATCTGCTGTCTTTTCCTTGCCAAAGACTAACCTCTTGAGCCTTTCTTTCAGATACCACATAAGTCATTAATTTCTCACCTGGTCTGGAAGTGCTGTGTTAGACTGCCATCGATATCCACTTAACCAGCAAAGAGAGCCACTGAGCACCCTCTGGTGTCTTGCCTATAGATTTCCAGACCTTACCTGTGAAATAAATGTTAGAGTGTGTTTTAATTCCCAAAAGAAAACCCTGCAGCCAGCTCCCATGTTGGGCCAAAATTTCAGTTAAAGAAAGTTTTAACAAATGTCTGACTCATGTTCCAGTTTACATATTAATGTAATGAAACTTCCGCTGAGACTATCCTTGTCTCTAGAGGAAATACGGCAAGCCTCTCAAACTTTCTTTCAGGAGAAAAATTTAGTAGAGAAGGTACATTCTAATACTTCCCTTTTTGTTAATGATCTGCAGCAAAAAGGGATTTGCATATCCCTCAGAGAATAGGACTCAGACCACAGACAGCAGCTGACAGTACTCACATCTCTGATTCCCAGCAGGGAAATACATGAGGATGAAGTTTGAAGAACCCCAATCTCGAGAATTGACAAGGTAGATCTTCAAGTTAACATTCAGTCAGTCACTGGAAAACTTCTGCTGGAGCCTCTGCTCCTCAGCTATTTTCATGTGAAGTATTTTCTTAGCCTTGTTCGGGCAGTTTTATTGCTAAAATGTTGGGGAACACATCCTTTTAAAGATTGTCCTTATTAATATGTTTTTGCTTCCCTTGAGAAATCTTGAATCCCTACTGATAGGTGAAATGCCTCCTCTTATATGCATGGAGATCAGCAGTAACCTTTTTTTAAGTTCCTATGTTTTAATATTTCCTCCTCCCACCCAAGCTCTATGAAGTACTTGGTACTTTTCCGCAGGAAATCTGATTGACTTTCTTGAGTACCTAGCCAGCTGGTTACCTGATTTTCTTTTGGCTAGAAATAATCCCTTCTATAGGTGAAGAATTTGTTCAAGCAGCTCATTTGGTTTGGAAGGGAGAGATGTCTCTAAGAATGCTTGAACCATATCTACTTGGACGTGCGACGGAAACCTTTAAGGTATCTGGTAAATGGTGGTAGAGGTAGCCTGACTATAACTTTAGGTCAGGATTGACACTTAAAGCAGAGACCGATTTGAGAAACTGATGAAAACTGTGGGCTCTCTCCTCAGGAAAATAGACTCATACACAGAATTTTTGCATTCTGTTTTGGGGGGGCAGTTCTAGACATCCATGGACTCTAGATGAAGAACTTTTGACCTTCTAAAAGAATAGAAGTGTTAATATTTTATACTTGTGTATCATTATGTAGTTTTTAAAACCCTTTCACATACATTTATTGTATTTTCTCGGCACACATTTGAGATAGGCAAAGTAGATATTATTGTTCCCATTTTATAAATGAGGATTACAGATTGTTATGTGATGCAGATGTTAAGAAATACACATACAGAGAGACAGTACCTCTGATCATCATCCTTTGTTGTACTCCTTTATGTACTTGAAAAGGATTTAATTGGTTTCTTTTGGCCTGATCCTCTTTAGGGTAAATAGATATTTTATCCTCCCCATGAGTCCGATTTTTCTTAATGCATTAACTGTCTATTCAACAGCCTTAAGTTGTAGAAATCAGAATTAAACCCAGTTCTCTTTATACTTTGGTTGAGTATAAAGAAAGGATCACCTCATTCTATTCTCTGACCTTTCAAATAACCTTTTCTTTTCTGCCTATGAATATGCCTCCATGGTTTTAGCCACAGATAGCATAAAATGGTTGGCTAAGGAGAGAGTCAAGAGAATTAGGGCTGCTTTAGTCATGCTTGAAGAAAGTGTTAGAGAAGGGGTACTCGAAGTGTGGTCCCCCAGACCAGCAGCATCAGCATCACCTGGGAACTTGTTAGAAATGCAAAATCTTGGGCCCCACTCAGATTTACTGCAACAGAAACTCTGGGGGGTGGGGCCCAGCAATGTGTTTTAATAAGCCCTCTGGATGATTTTGATGCACTTAAAGTTTGAGAACTACTTTGTTAGATAAACTTGTTAACTGGTAAGGCTTTTCCTATCAGTAATAGTATCCAAAAATGTCTTCTGCTTTTATTTGGTACAGATCTGTATGTACCTCCTTCTGGAGCTTATCTTATATGATGAGCCATTTCAGAATTGTGGTTTGATAGGGGCCCAAGATCATCTGGGATGATGTCATTTCTGAGACCCAATCTGGTAAGAAAGTAAATTAGAGAGTAGTTTTAAATTAAATAAATTTAAATATAAATTAAGAGGAATGAGGTGGGACTAGTGCACCTAAGATTAGGGCCAGGGGAGTTTTTGGTCTTTTGATTAATATCGTAGGTGTGGTATAGTGGAAAGAGCTTCGGCTCTGACATAAACACAGGCTGGAATTCTAGTGCCGTCACTTGTTTGCTGTGAGACCTCAGGCACATTATCTGTTCTTTCGGAGCTCGACTTTCCTAATTTGTCAAATGAGGATAATAATGCCTACTTTTTAAGATTCTTATACTGATTTATAGAAGTAACATATACACAGGGCTGTGCATTATAGGCACTTAATAGATATCAGTTCTTCTCCCCTTATTCTCTTCTTCCAGAGACCTTTTCTCTCAAAATAAAGATTATCCTAAAAAAAGAACCTAGCATTTTATGTTCTTTCTTGTGTGCAACAAGCAGTCTCTTTTTTTAGGAAGAATTCAAATCACATTCCCACTCCTGTCTCTGTGAACATACTGTTGAATGTAGCTTTCCTATTCACTGGGTCCCTTTCAGAAATCAACAAATAATGTTATTCTTTGCCCTTTCATTTGACTCATTATTTGATATGTAACAAAGTTGTTGCGATTCTGGGGAATCTTGAGGAAATAGGAAACTCCCCTTTGTAGTCACACCTTCAGCAAAACACAGTTTTTGAAAAGCTTTTTTTGAGAAAATCAAACAGAGTCATTCAACACCTAATCAGCAACAATCTTGAGATGGGACTAGAAACCAAATGTCAGACTTGTATAAAAGATGCACAATTAAGAGTAGAGCAACCGACCGAAGAAGTTGATTTCTTTGGTGACAGAGCTGAAACCAGTGTCCCCAGTCTGACTAACCCAAGGACACAGAGTGTAGGTTAGGGACTGCCAAAGCACTTGGCACCATTATTATTTTTTTTTCCATCTTAATAAATTCCCTCACTGTTTTAGTGGCTCTGTAGTTAATTTTTTTCTAATGAGACTAGGTTAACTAAAATCATCTGACAAGGAAAAGGAGGAGGTAAGGTTAAAAAGGAACCTAATTAGCAAGTTAATTATAGCAGGCAAAGAAGTGCACCGGTTATATAAATAAGCTATTGTTATGCACATGCAAGTTGGGCCTTGTCAAGGGACTTGTTAAGGTTTAGAGGTCAGAGGATCCGTGTAATGAGGTGTTTAGGAAAAAAAAAATAAAAGCAAAGCAGCCCTCAGAACTAGGAATGGCTGATGAGCCACTAACAGAAAAGCCTTATTAAATTGGGCTCTACTGCTGGAGGGGTTGTTGGAGCTGCTTCAGGGATTCCAGGGAAGGGTAGCCCCCCCCCCCCAAAAAAAAAAGAGCTAGCTGGAACCAGAGCCAACAGAATTGCTGATGAAGAAAGTTTAAAGGCCTACCCACAAGGGTCCCTGGACCGGAGAGGTGGCAGTAGGGCTGGTAATGTCACTATGCTGAGCAGCAAGAAGAAATACATTGTCAATGGCAACTCTGGGATTAAAGCCCAGGTGAGGCTAAGCTCTTATTTACCAGTCTTGCTGCCGCTATAGCCCTTATCGTAAAAGGCCAGCTGCTTTTTCCCTCCTTTCCTGCTTTCATCCCTCCTTCTGGCATAAGGTGAGCTGCTCCTCTCCTAACAGTCTCTTTCCCTCCCTTGCCTTGATGCCTTTTGAGTTAGGCAGTTCTCTCTGAAATGGAAAAGGAAGGTTACCTTAAAGGACTCTCTGATTTTAGACAAAATAGGAAAGTTAGGGGTAGAATCTACCAGAGTACCACAACTGGGGTGGGTAGATTACTATATAACAAGGTGAACTGTTGAGTGAAGAATGTAATGACATTTAACTACTTGGGCGGGGAGGTGGGTACCAGAGATGACCTACTTAAACCATGTGTGTTCTGCTTATCAGTAAAAGATAAACATTCTTTGGGAAAATTGTATAACTTATTCTATATAAGTGGTTTGTCTCTTTCTAATATTCTTCTGTCTTAGAGAAACTTGAGTTCAGTGTCTAACGAGTAAACAAGATTTAGAATCTTATTTCTCTGAGTGTAGGAAGCCTACATAGCCTAGTCTTCTTTAGTGCCAAAAGATAGCCTAAACTTGACCTGGATGGGAGGAATTACTGTAAATGGAAAAGACTTTATAGAGAAGAGAGCTCAGCTTAGGGCAACTGGTTTGAGATGATGATGCAGTTAGATAGTGACATGGTTTAGTGTTAGTGGGGTACCCACCCACCTCAATCCTACAAATCTAGAGAAGTAGAGTGACTGGCTCCCTCTAGTGGTGTGTGTGTGTTGGGGGGCGGGTTACATATCTGAGGCAGGGTTTATGTGTTATTCTTTTTTAAAAGGAGGCACTGTTGAGTTAGTGACTCATTATAGCCTTTGGAAAGTCAATTCCTACTGCTTTTCCTAGATGGCCGTCTAAAAAAGAATAAAGAAATATCACTGTCTTGAACAAGGTTGGTGAAATGGAAGCCAGAGTTTTGAGCCTGACTGCTATTCCCCTCCCGGTCCTCTCACTCACCTTCTCCTTCCCAGCGTTTTTTGCCCTTAAAAATTCTTTTAACGTTAGACTTGGCTTATGCTTACTATATTTACTTAATATTCAACCAAGTACAGGCAGTGAAGATAGAATAGGCTACCCATTGTTTCAGCACATGATTGCCTACCATGTGTCAAGCATTTGTGCCTGAGGATAGGAGAGTGAGTAAGATACACAGCTCCTGCCTTTATGGAGCCTATAGTTTACCCAGGATACAGGTAGATAGTTATGTTCAGTGTGATAAGTGCTGTGATAGAAGAAGTACATGGAAGGTCATGTACATCCGATGGGAATGTATAGAAAGGGCACTTTCTCTTTTTGGAATAAATTGCTGCTTTATCAAAGTAATCTATTTTGCCATTTTTCATTTTGTGAAGAGCTTCTAATCCAATGAATTTTCCTATTGCTGAAAACAATTTGCAAACTCTATAAACTACCACACAGGCTTTATTTGTTGTTATAGCTGTGAAAATGCTATGAATTCTTCTTAGATGCATGCTAAGCTAATTCAGTTTGACATTGGTCCCCTTGTGTCAATACTCAAATGACTCAATAGTTATCTCTAACTGCAGGAAATCTAGCCGTCAGTTGCTGCTTTCATTCTGGTGTGCTGTATCTGCGTTCTGCCCATCAAGGAACCATCTTTTTATCATGAAAGGTAGAATCAGTTGTCAGATCTTTGATCCTTCCTGCCTCTGTGACACCTTGGATCCACAATAATCTAGGCAATTATGCAAACATTCAATTAGGAAAAAAGAATAAAAGTTATTTGTTGAATAAATGATATGAGCTTTGATTTGTAAAGTGTTACAAAGTATCAGCTGGAACCTCCAACATTAGGTAAAAGAGATAAAATTGCAAGAAAATCATTATCATATATTGTCCAAAATGCAACCTCCAGAGTATTGAGGTTTATACATATTCAGTCCAGTCATCCACTCTTTCTCCATCTGTTATAGTTAATAAATGATCAGTCTTGTGGCTTTTAGATACTTTATGATAACATCAAAAATAATAATGTTTACTATACTTTTTAGTACTGAAAAGCTAATTAATACATTTTAGAAAGCCTTTAAAAAGCTAGAGTGACTACTTGCAAGAGTTAGAAGAACACTGAACTATAGGGGTGGGATTGAGGGAGTAGATTTATTGAATTTCCTGCTGTGTTTCACAGTTTACATACATTGTTTCATTTAATCCTCTCTAAAGCTTGTGAGGTAAGTACTTTTGTCTTTGTTGTGTTTATGAGAAAATGAGGCTCGCAAAAGCATCTTCACCAATATCACATACCTAATGAGTGGCATAGTCAGGATTTGAATGCAGTTCCAGAAAGTTCTGTCTGAATGGAAAGCCTATTTTTTTTTCCCATTATACCATACCGTTTCCTGAGATTCTTAAACCTGAATGCAAGTCACTTTACCTTTCTGTACCTTGTAGTTTTCTCATCTAGATATATGAAGATTAGAATAGTCTCAAAGATTCTTTCCAGCTTTAATTTTCAGTGAGACTACTATAGAAAGGATTTCTGAATATGACTCAACTTTCTAAATTTATTTTAATCAGAACATCCCATTCTCCATTTTTTTTTTGGTCACAACTTTATTATAAAAGGCATATAGTCAGAGAGTGGATCAGAAATTTAAATTTGATAGAAATATAATAGGTAAAGAATGAAAAATCATTCTCTCTGAAGAGTCTTAACATTCCAAATATAGGTTGGTACAATCAGGTCAGCTGCAAGAGAAGGTAAGATCCTATAATGCAAGCCTTGAATTGCTGTCTCAAAAATGGAGGTTCTTTTCCTTTATATAACTAGAGTTCTTTTTCTTAGCAGATCCAATTTGCTGACCAGAAGCAAGAATTCAACAAACGTCCCACCAAACTTGGACGTCGCTCTCTGTCTCGTTCCATTTCTCAGTCATCTACTGACAGCTATAGCTCAGGTGAGTGCTGACCTGCTGTGGACCCACATGTGAAGGCTAATTAAGTGTGACCAATGGACCCTCCATTGTTCATTAAGCGTGAACAAGCCTGTGCTTTGGAATAAACACTTTGACTCTCAGCTGAAATTTAGACCAAAATTCTGGATGGGATCTTTGGATTCCTCTTGGAAATTCAGAGTGGAGCTTAATAGAGGCCTCCTCTTCCAATTAAGGCAGAAGAAGGTGATTAAGGAAACAGTTCTGATTTATTCAGAGGGTGGCAGTATGTAGCTCACTGATGACCTTAACTGAACAGCATGTGTAAAGGACTTGTGTTTTTTCCATTCTTTGAAAATAAAAGAGGGGTTCCGCATCGCTCCCTCTGGTACTTGCAAATTAACAGGGAAGCCTTAATTGCCCCAAGAAATAATGAAAACATTGTAGCTAGTCAAGCAAGTCCTTTTCCTTTTCTTCTAAACTGTGACATTGTATTGCTTGTTACTCCTTCCTTCCTTTCCAGTGGCATTCATTCAAATATATGGGCCCTGGGACTGAGTTATCGTTTAATGCCAGATGAGCTATTACCATGTGGAACCCCTTGAAGGCGTTGGCCATTTGTGCAACAGTGGCTAGTATGTGTCTGATGTAATATGGAGCTATTTTATTTTGCTCTTATGTTGGAATGTGGTAGGAAGCTGAGTGTTTGCCCTAGTTATCTCTTCACATTATAAATAGTAATATTCATTAGAAAATTTTCATTGTGACGTGAAATTTTATTTGTTCTTCACACAAATAGGGAAGTTGTTATGTAAAGTTGAAGAAAGCTTGTTTGGGAAGCTGTAACTTTTAGGTTGGGTAAATTGTTACTTACACTTTCTACTTTCCCCCCACAGTAACTGAATGATGTTAAGCACGTGACACAAATTCCTATGGATTTTTGTCTAAAGATACCAAATTTTGTACCTATCTTATTCTGCTGAAATAACCAGTGTTGAAAATTCATGAACTGGTTAATATAACATAATAATAATTATAGTAAATTTTAACTCCAGCTCAATCAATCTCTTCCCTACACACTAGAGCCACATTTCCAACTGTGTTCGTGCAGAAAAAACCAATGCCTGCCTTCCCACCAAAACCCCATATACAAGGAGGGTGATTACAAAATATCTATTTACCTAGAAGAGTGTATTTGATGCCCTTGGTTTCTAAGTGGATGCATAGTGGCCTGGTATTGCTCATTGGTGAGGGATATTGATTGGTGTCACCCTGGAAAACCTGGACGTTTTAGGTTGAACTATATGAAATTGCCATTTTTTATAGTCAAAAATGATCAACCTTATATATCCATTTAAGGATATTAAGTTCAGGAGCATGGAATCAAAACATCCTGGACATGGAAAATAACTTACAGATCAGTTTTTCAGTTTTTCACTGGATGCTGGAATTGCCTTGATTGCATCCCTGACAAATGGCCATTGGGCCTCTTTGGGAGCATTTTAGATGATAGGGTGATCCTTGCTTTATCTAGTTATTTAGCTCTTGATAAGCTCTTATACATTCCCTGAAATTTAAAGATTTTACTTAGAAATAAAAATTGCCATTTTTAGTTGCCTGATTTTGGGGGCATCCCATGTCCTGGTTACTCTCATCTAAATATATTCCAGATTAAGTGTCCTTTTAAAAATATTATGCATATGAATATAATATCCCAGATATAGTCTGAACTAATCTGTACGAAGTGCTATTTCCATAAACTCAATGCTTTTAAAATGAAACCTAAGATTATGTTTGCTTCTTTTGCAACTGTCACACACAGTTAACCTCGTTTTATTTTTTGTTTTTTTCACATGAACAACTGTCAAACCCTTTTAAACAAACTGTGAATGGAGATATCTGCTGCCTTGAGTCTTGGACTGGGAGTTAGGAGAGACCTAGTTTCTAGGCTTTGATCCATGTGTGATTTGTTGTGTGATCCTGGAAAACTCTGGCAGCCTGTGATGTTCGTAATGGAGGCAATGGGAAGTTATATGAGGTGATACAGAAAACGCTCCATACCCATCAAATGAAAAGCCAGGAATAACAGAATTGATTCACAGCATTCTAAGTATGGGAAGATAGGCAAATGCATGTCAATAAGAACTTGGAACCCTTTTCAGCATATGTTATAATTTAATTGACCGTAGAAATTAACATTGGAGAGCCCCAAAGACTGGTCCTTGGACCTCTTCCCTTCTCTGTTTCTCTCTCCCCAGGGGAACTCATTCAGTCTCATAGTTTAAAATACTACGGCATTTGATTCTCAAATTTTATCTCCAGCTCAAATCTCTCCCCTACACACTAGATCCATATATTAACTGCCTGCTCAGTCCTTTCAGTTGGATGTTTTATAGGCATCTCAAACCTCCCATATCTTGAGAACTGAGCTCCAGAGTTCCAACCTTGCCCCTCTTCAGTCTATTCTCAACCCTATAGCCAAATTCATTCTTTTAAAATGTCAGGTCATATCACTTCTCAGCTCAAAATCCTCCAATGTCTTCCGAATCTCACTCTGGGTAAAGGCTAAAGTTCTTACAATGGCCTACAAGACCCTATTCCATCCAGCTTCCCATTATATTTCTAATCACGTCTCTACTTTCCCAAACCTGCCCCTTCCCCCAGCTGTTTCACTCCAGTCATGTTAGCCTCCTTACTGTTATTTTGAAACATGCCAGGCACTCTCCTGCTTTAAGGCCTTTGCACTTGCTATTCCCTCTGCCTGGAATGCTCTAAGCTACCCTGGCTGGGTATCTTACCTTCTTCAGTTCTTAACCAAAGATCACCTTCTTCTTGGGGCCTATCCTGGCTACTCTTTTAAAATTGTACAAACACCCGACCCAACACTCCCTATCAAATTTTCCTCATTTATTTTTCTCCTTGGCACTTATTATCATATAACATATATTTTACTAATTTGTTGTTGTCTTTCTTCTCGTAATTGAATATGAGATCCATGAGAGCAGAGGTTTTTGTCTGTTTCATACTGCTGTATTCCCAGCGCTTAGAACAGTATTTGACACATAAGCAGTGCTCGATAAATAAATATTGGTGAGGATGTCCAGAGACATTATTATACTTTCCTTGTTGAAGTCTCTGATATACTCTATGTATGTACACAGCTAGAAGAATGTTTATGACATTTCAAAAAAAGATACCTTCCTGTCCGAAGTGCTTGTTTTCCTGAAGATACATAGAGGCTTACTTAGGCTGTGGCCTACTCCCTTCCTAATGATCCTGGTACTAAGTTTTGCCATGCTTTCATTTAGGAACCTCTACCAGCCTTTCTTAGCCAGGGTTCCTCGTCTGAGTCACAGAAGATGGAAAATGATTTGAGAGACTGTTTTCTCAGTTCTTCAAAGGATGGTTCATAACTAGTACCCTTCTAGATGCATAGGAGAGAAGTAAATTCATATATTCAATGGATGCTTCAAGGCATTAGGGTTTAATTCTAGTGAAACCTAGGTTGAAAAAGCCTGCATTAATCCCTGAAATTATTTTATAAAACAACAAAACAAAAAAACTCTTTCCCTAAGCACAAACCTCATAAAAACAAATTAATAGAAGGGACTTTTCTTCAAAGTCAAATCATTCTTAGTGATATATTTCTGAAAAAGCTGCCTTTGCAGTGAGTTAATTGGTTAAGGATAAGGAAGGAGTACTGAAGTCTCTTAGTTCATAATTGGTTCTTATAAAGTTTGAAGAATCTTTAGGTTTTTGCAAATAACACAGTTTTGTTTGTTTGTATTTTGGTTGCTAAGATAGCTTTTCACATATTTCTAGAGTGTCATTTATCAATGAAATCTGCTGCACATTGACACAGAGGGCCCTACTGTTATTTACATTACCAAAAGAATAGATGAGGCCCAAGAGGAGTTGCCTGACTTAAAATAGTCTGATAGGACATTCAGCCAGGAGTGTGACTGCTTCTTCTAGCAATAACCCACAATATCACAGCTGCTAAGAGGTAAGGCTTAATCATGCCTGAGCTGTAGAATATATGTATGCATGTTCTGTGGGATAGATGGTGGATTAGTGATTCATCAAGTTATGTTTTAATTCTGGGGTATCATGAAACAAAAGAATATCCCATGGTAAAGTTATATTGTACTTTATATTACTTTTCCACCTAGAAATTGAATCCTTTTTTGGTATTATTTCATTTATTCATAAGATTTTCTGGTGGTAGTTAGGGGAAAGGGAGAGCATGGGAGAGAGAGGATCTGTTATACTCCCTATTTTACAGTTGGGTAAGTTGAAAATTGGTCACTTAACCAATTAGAGGTGAAGCTAGAGCTAAAGTCTCAGGCCATATACATCAGTAGGTTATTGCCTTGGTTATTGAGTGCTCATTTTTAATTAAATTATGACTCTGGGCTTTAGAGTGTGCTGACAATTACAAACACTTTAGAAACTGTTCAAGCCTGTGTGTATGTATGTGTTAGGTTTCCCTAAATTTTCCTAGAAGAAATCTTTAATGCTATGTCAACTATTTTCATGAATGTGCTACTTTAAATATAGTGGCAGATGGGGCTGGCCCCGTGGCTTGGCGGTTAAGTGCGCGCGCTCCGCTGCTGGCGGCCCGGGTTCGGATCCCGGGCGCGCACCGACGCACCGCTTCTCCGGCCACGCTGAGGCTGCATCCCACATACAGCAACTAGAAGGATGTGCAGCTATGACATACAACTATCTACTGGGGCTTTGGGGGGAGAATAAATAAATAAATAAAATCTTTAAATATAGTGGCAGAAATGAGTATGGATTCAAAAAATAAATGTCACGCTGGTTCAGGAATAATCTTTCCACTGTGTTTGCAGAAATAACACTCTCTTGGTCTGGATCTGTCAGCCATTTTGCATTCATGTCAACCTAGACAACTGATACTTTTGGTTCTCACCTAATAACAGGTCTGTGTAAAGGGCTCTTTGAAAACAAATCCATTTTGGCTCAAAGAAAAAGATTGGTTGAACTAACAATAAGCACTTGACTACTGTTAAGAAAATAAAATACCATTTTTTCCTTTTACACTAGAGAAGTGGCATAAATAATTTTTTTCTTTGAGTTGGAAGAAAACAACTCAAGCCAAAAATTGGAGTGCTTTTCTTAAGGGGAAATTTTTGTTTTTTTGTTGTTGTTGTTTGTTTTTTTCCCTGACTCATCCTTAGAAGCTGAAGAGGCATAGGAGAGGAGAGCTATTCTGGGTAGAGTTAGGACTCCAGTCTCAGCCTTTTTAATCACTGCCAGCCAACCACCTGCTGCTTGGGTAGATTAGTAGATGATGGAGGTAGGAAAAAAAGAAACTGCTAAATAATATTGTATGTATGTTATTTCTTTCCTATTCAAAATCCTAAAGCTGAGTAAGAATCCTTAAGATGTTATATCTGGTATTGAATTAAAAATATGTGCAAAAGCCGGTATTAATATCATTTATTGAGTGCTTCATTACTTTACACCGAGCATTGCACTCAGCACTTTACTTACATTATCTTATTTAATCTTCTCAACAACTTTACTCTGACAAGTCATGTCTGCCTATTATACGGTCTGCTTCATAGGATGTATTATAACCATATGGAAAGAAAAACTCTAAATAATTAATTTTGTAGTTAGTTATTTCATTTTCTGCTAACCTACTAGACTGAAAACTCCATGAAGATAAAGGCAATCCATATCTGTCTTATATCCCCAGCACTTACACCATGCCTGGTACATAGTAGATGCGCAATAAAAATTTATTGAATGAACAACTGAATGTGTGAATGACTGAATATATGAGTGAATGAACAACCCTATTAAGCAGGTTCTGGTTTCACTTCTACTTTACATACCCAGAAACAGAGACTGAGATTTCAACCAAAGTCTGTCTGGCTCCAGAGCATGTAACCACTATATTTAAATGGCCATTAGGAAACATAAAAATCATCATGGCTCTGGAAAAGGATTTGAAATTTCAGGATATTCTGAATGTAAGCACTTTCTTCAAAAGCAATTATCCTGTAAATTTGGATCAGGATTAGGGATGGCTATTATCTTTCTTTTCTCAGGTGGTAGAAGCTTGGTTCCCCTAAACCTCCAACTCCTAAGCTCTTTCTGAGTATTGATTAGTGAAATAGATGACTGCCCAGGAAGCTGTTTCTGGTCTCTGTTGCCAAAGGTGCTTTGAGCTCTTGCTTACCCTACGGGGGAGAACCACAGACTTTTTGTACAGATTAGCTCCTTTCAAGAACAAAAGTCCCTTTAGGGATTTATTAATTCTCTCACCTCCCCGGGTGCCCATGTTCATTCTTGTTGTCTCGTGTTAGGACTTTGCTCTAGGGCACTTTTCCAGCTCCAGGAGAGATACTCAGGCCCCTGCTGCCCAAACATTTTGTAGTGCCATGCCTGATTAACTGGGCAAGGTCAGACTTGCCTTTTACAGCCCTCCCAGAGATAGACCCTTTGCTAAGAAATCTCAGAAATGCCTTAATTCTCTGGATATAAGTAGATCAGATCACTGTAGCCCTAGGAGCTCTGAGCTTTTGCAGCTTTCTCCCCTCAAAAGTGATGGAAATACTTATCATCTCGTTGAGAGATATATAATGCCTTACAGACAATGCTTTATGTCTCCCAACCTTCCTCTCTCAAAAACCTTGAGGACTACTTAGGAGGGAACTATCCGCAGAAACTTAAACATAAATCAAGGAGGGAGATTAATTCAAATCATCCAGCAAATGATTAGCAACTACAAAATATACGAAGACTGAAAAGAACTGAGCTAAACCTGGGAATAGCAGCAGCAGCTGCCTATTAGCCACAATCAAAAGTCTTAGACCTTCCACCCTCTAGTTTATATTGCTAAATGAATTAGTTATCAGAGCATTTTATTATACCAAAAGAGGATTTATCCACTTCTTTGGGAATTTGAAATGCCTAATGCAGGACCCACTGAGGCCAGCAAGAAGGGAGAGCGCACTGAATACTTCATTGTCAGTGTCTAATTGGGTCTGCAGGCATAGCTCAGCCTCATCAGAGTCAGTCTTAAAAAAGAAAGCTCTGTTATGTCAGACAAACACTTTTTGTGTAGTTCTTAATTACTTTCCCATGGGTTCCTTGTTTTCTGGGTCATATCTGTTCAGTTATTGTACTAAAACACAAATTACATCATGCGTTTAAGCAGAGGCAGAGAAGGGTAGCTAGGACCCCAGAAACCCATAGGTTAATGACCACGATCTTTCATGAAGAACTGTAACCTTGGGGCCAGCCCGGTGGCAGAGCAGTTAAGTTCACGCCCTCTGCTTCAGAGGCCCAGGGTTTGCCGGTTCGGATCCTGGGCGCAGACCTACTCACTGCTCATCAAGCCATGCTGAGGTGGCATCCCATATAAAAGAGCTACAACTCTACAACTATGTACTGGGGCTTTGGGGAGAAATAAGAAAAAGAGGAAGATTGGCAACAGATGTTAGGGCAGGGCCAATCTTCCTCAAAAAAATACTGTAACCTATTGCTACCATGGTGTAATCTCTCTCTTTTTTCATGTTCAAGGACTTCTGCATGTTCTGAAGATAAAGTTAGCCCAAGTTAATACTATCCAGGGGGAATGTCTTTGGCAACCTCTCTCAGCTTCCTCTTTCTGACCTGTGGATAGCACTTTCTATAGGAGTTGATTAGACAGCTCCACAGTGCCATTTAGGTGCTTATCAGATGTGTAAATTTGTATGGTGCTGGATGACTAGAGAAGCCTCAGTTCACTCCATGGTTTGGAGTTTTAGAGGAAGCTGTTTTTTTACCTGAGAGTTTTTATTCTGTTGTTTCAGCGGCTTCATATACAGATAGCTCTGATGATGAGACATCTCCCAGGGACAAGCAGCAAAAGAACTCCAAGGGAAGTAGTGACTTCTGTGTCAAGAACATCAAACAGGCAGAGTTTGGACGAAGAGAAATTGAAATTGCTGAACAAGGTAAAGAAAGCAAGTACCTTTTCTTTTTCAAGCTGCCTGTGACTTTTTGTCCTTTTATATCTTGGGGTCTAGTAGCTTGTGAAATTTCAGTGTGATTTTGAAGAATACTTATAACTAAAGAAATCTGAGCTCAGGAAACACTAGGGGTAAGGGGGAGTAAATTCTGATGGGTCTAGAAGCAACCCCTATACAAGGAAAACGGAGCGAGACTAGATAAGGAGGACTGGGATATAGGGAGTTAGAACACTGGAGCATTTGCCTCTGAAAGTCCCTTATAAAAGGCAAATCAGGTTTAATGTCTTGATCCCTTGAGAAACCTAATCTAACAGAAAACCTGAGCAGAGGAAGGATCTTACCTTAAGAGAATAAGTTCTTCTGTTTATTCTTCATCTCTCCTTCCCTCCTCTCTAATATTGCTGTGTATGTATTGGGCCTTTTCAGAAATGCCGGCACTGATGGCTTTGAGGAAGAGAGCTCAAGGAGAAAAACCTTTGGCTGGAGCCAAGATTGTGGGTTGCACACACATCACTGCTCAGACTGCTGTGAGTCCTTTTCTTTTCTCCACTGATAACAGTAGTTAATAATAGCCACCAGCTATGGAGTGCTTGCAACATGCCAAGTACTAGGTTAAGAGCTTAGTGAGTATTATCATTAATTCTTATAATGGCCATGTAAAGCAGGTATTCCTGTTTCCATTTTATAAACGAGGAAGCTGAGGCTCAGAGAGTTTAAGTAATTTGTCTGACGTTATACAGCTAGTAAATCATAGAATCAAGACTTGAACTTCAGTATATCTGACTCCCAAGCTTCTGCTTTCTCCACTATACTATATGCTTCCCCTTATCTTCCCTTCCAGTATCATTTCTACGAGGCAACTCTGTGTTAGGCTACTTTCAGCTGCAAATAAGAGAAAATCTGATTCAACCTGGCTTATACATAAAGGAATTTCTTATGTTCTATATATAACTCTATAGAGGTAAGATGGACTTTAGATGCAGGATCTCAGGGCTCCAATTTCATTTGTCTGTGATTCTCTTAGAGCTGCTTCCTCACTGTGCTTACTTCATCTTCAAGTTGATGGCAAGATGGTTATGGCTCTTTAAGCCATCACAAACTGCCATAAAGAGGAAGACGACCATTTCTTCCTCTCTCCTAAGAACAAGGAAACCTTTCCCAGAAGTCTTCCTGGATACTCCATCATGTGTCATTGAGCAGGACTGGAACACATGCCATGCCCCACGAGTCCTGGCACGGCACTGGGATTACCATGATGGGTTTAGTACAATGATTCTCACCCCTGTCAGAGTCAATGTCCCCTTTTTATAAAAAAAAAATATTTTGTAATGCCCCTGTATTATCTTAAAATGAAATTCAGATATAACATATCTAGGTACATATAATTTTTTGAAAAATCAACATAAAATCTTAACTGAAATATGAAGAAAGAATAAAAGGAAAGTAATTTATAATAAAATACTGTGTATTTCAATATGTAAGTGCTCTGGTACAAGTATAGTAGAATAGTCAGATATCTGTACTTACTCATAGCATTATTTGAATGAGAGTGCTACAAATGTATGTAGGTAAAAATGTGTTTCTGGTTCCAGAGCATCAGAGCAGTATTGCCAAATTATATGATTTTCTCAAATTATAAACAACTTTTTGTAAATTTCTGAATAACAACAACAAAAAGTATGATTTTTCTCTTGATTTACATAGTTATTGCTTTCTTGGAAAAACTAGTTTGTATTAAAACTACAAAAATACTGGGGCTGGCCTGGTGGCATAGTGGTTAAGTTTGTGTGCTCCACTTTGGCAGCCCAGGGTTCGTGGGATTGGATCCCAGGCGTGCACCTACACACCGCTCATCAAGCCATGCTGTGGTGGCGTCCCATATACAAAATAGAGGAAGATTGGCACAGGTGTTGGCTCAGTGACAATCTTCCTCAAGCAAAAAGCAGAAGATTGGCAACAGATGTTAGCTCAGGGCCAATCTTCCTCACAATAAATAAATAAATAAATACTTTTTGTTAATATGTAAAATGGAGTAAGGTTTGAAACTCAGATAATTATAAATAGGTTTCTTACTCCTCTGAACTTTTCATTGGAACATTTGAAAATTGTACCAGATGTGGCATGGTTTCTTGTTGTAAGAGACTGTCCTGCACTTTCAAAATGTCAAGATCCCTGGCCCTACCCACTAAATACCAGTAGCTCTCCCTTCCCAACTATTGTGACAACCAAAAATGCCCCCACAGCTTTCCAAAGTTCCCCTGTTGAGAACCACTGACTTAGAGTCATCGTCAAGGATGTAGTAGATACTGAGTTGCCAACCATAATGAGACCACTGCAGGAAATTTGTGTAGTGAGAAATGGTCTGGAATCTTTTATAAGATTTATAAAACCCAGGTCATTTGTATGGCCAAATCAGCTTTCAAAAGATTGTCTCCTGAAGCACAACACTTATGTGGCCACATTCCTTATTAAGAACAGCAGAGATTCCTCAAGACACAGACAGCTACTGTTAGCATCTTCACTATGAGACTTTTCTGGGTTGCATGTTCTCTGAGGAAAAGACTACCTTGGCGGCTCAAAATTAATATAATAAATTGAAAAACTATCTCTTTTTGGAGCTGCAGACTAATGAATCAAGGCAGAATGACTCTTGGAAACTTTTTTGGGCTTCCCCCGTCAGGGACATGAGACTTCAGTATGGTGGCTTAAAATAGTAAGTGCTTCTGTACTGTCTCATGTTGCTAAATTATATCTAGTTTCTTTTTTACCCCCTAGCTCACTGAACATTACCACTCTTCAAGGTTCCTTCCTATTTTTTTCTTGAATGTAGTAATCAAAATTAGTTTACAAATTTTAGTATTATTTTATCATCGTTCCTTCCACACATTCTTTTCTTTTTCCTTTAAAAAAAATAATTACAAAGGAATTTTGCTTTGTTTTATTTTTTAATCTCTATTTTATTTTTTTCTGATTACAAAAGTAGTTCATGTTCATTTTAAAAAGTTCAAACATTACTACAATCTATAATGTAGAAGAAAGACAAAGTCTCCTATAAGCCCATGCCCCAGAAATAACTATTATAGTTAACAGTTTCCTGTCCAGGTTTCTAATAGACTTGGATCTATTGACATTTTTTTTGGTGTGTTTCCATAGTTACTTTTAACCAGGTTTCCTAGCTACTCCTTCTAAACAGTAATGATTTAAAGTTGCATTAAACCAGCTTCTAAGCTCAGTCCTCCTCCCACTCCTACCTGCCGTCTTTCCTACTTGAGCCCTAGTAGCCAGCTGTCTTGACTCATAGTTCTTTGAACACTTCTTATATTCTTGGTCTCAATTACTTTTCTAGTTAATTTGTATTGCTTTGTAGGTAAGTCTCAGTGTCATTCTTTTGTTTGACAAATTCAAGAATCCTAGTTGTAGGAATTCAGAAATTTTTTAAGGTGAAAAATAAAACAGAAAAATGGGATCAGATATTGAAAGGTAGCATGGACTAGAAATTAAGACGTAAGAGTAGTTCTGCTATCAACTTGCTGTGTGACCCCTAACCCATGAAGGGGTTAGCCTACATTAGTGGAATTGTTTGCAAGTAATTTTTAAAAAATTAGAGCGTATTTTTAATTAGAATTTTTATTTAGTATAGAAATATTAGAAAATTCAAGTTTTTAAAAATGAAAATTATCAGTACCCAGAGTTGATCACTGCCAGGAAATTTTAAAACAAGCATTTTAACCAAAGCTTTATCCTTATTAAAATAGCTCTTAGTCAAAGCAGTAGGGTAGTACACTACCTTTTTAAAAGGAATCCTATCTCCATCTTATATGTTGAAGTAAAAGTACGTCAGGATCAAATCAGTGGATTAAATTTTTTTTAATATTTTTTTAATATTTTTCATAGATTTGTAGAAAAGGTGCAAGTAAAGTACAGATAACTTTTTTTCCTGAACCATTTGAAAGTAAATTGCCAACCGGTGCTCCTTCACCCACAAATATTTTAGTGTGTTTTTTACCAATAAGGACATTCTCCTATACAACCAGTATAAACATTCAAAATTAGGAAATTAACATTGATTCATTATTACCATCTAATCCTCAGACCCCATTTGAGTTTCACTAGTTGTCCCAATAATATTTTTTATAACAAAAGGATCCAGTCCATAGTTATGTGTCTCATTTAATTGTCATCTCTTTTTAGTCTCCCTTAGTACAGCACAGTTCATCAGTCTTTCTTCGACTTGCATGACACTTTTGAAGAGTATAGACAGATTATTCTGTAGAATGTCCTCAATTTGGACTTTTCTGAGCTTCCTCATTATTAGATTCAGGCTGTGCATCTTTAGTAGGAAATGATGCTGCATTTTTTAAATTTAAGCTTATTAGGTGGCATGTGATTTTGACTTGTCCCATAACTGACGTTCTTTTGATTCCTTGGTTGAGGTGGTGGCTGCCAGACTTTTCCATTGTGAAAGTTATTTTTCCCCCTTTGTAATTAATAAGTATTTTGTGTGGTAGTAATATGAAACTGTGTAAATATCCCATTCTTCATCAAACTTGCAACTTATTCACTCATTTGTTTATTTTTATTTGTATGGAATCATTGTTTTCTATTTTATTTAATGGGTTATAATCTATTACTATCATTATTTATTATGATGCTCAAATTGTTCCAATTTTGGCTAAGGGAAGCCCCTTCAGTCTGGCTTCTGTGGCTTGTCTTGTAACATATCCCTTTCATTCTTTGAGCACTTTCTTGCTTCTGGTACAAGATGATCTAAGCTCGTCTTGTACATTCCCTGTCCTAGCCGTGGATTAGTCATTTCTCTAAGGATCCTTGGTTCCTTTAGTGGATCTGTACAATAGTGTACTCTTTGCTATTGGGATGTCATTTTTCTTTTATTCCTCTTTCATTAATTTTGGAAAATAATTTCCCATTAACTCTTCATATATTTCTTTTGCCCTATTATCCCCTTCTCCTTCTAGGATTCCAATTACATGTATGTTAGACCATTTGATAATATCCCATAAATCTTGGATGCTCTCTTCTGATTTTTTCCCCTACTCATTTTTCTTTCTGTATTTCAGTTTAGTAATTTCTCTTGATCTAGCTTCAAGTTCACTGATTCTGTCCTCAGAGACACATAGTCTGATGATAAGCCTGATGAAAGAATTCTTAATCTCTGATACTTTTTATTTTATTTTTTATTTCTGACACTTCTTCTTTTTTTTTTTTTGTGAGGAAGATCAGCCCTGAGCTAACATCCATGCTAATCCTCCTCTTTTTTCTGAGGAAGACCGGCTTTGAGCTAACATCCACTGCCAATCCTCCTCCTTTTTATCCCCAAAGCCCCAGTAGATAGTTGTATGTCATAGTTGCACATCCTTCTAGTTGCTGTATGTGGGACGCGGCCTCAGCATGGCCGGAGAAGCGGTGTGTCCGTGCGCGCCCGGTATCTGAACCCGGGCCGCCAGTAGCGGAGCGCGCGCACTTAACCACTAAGACACGGGGCCGGCCCATGACATTTCTATTTCACTTGTTTTTATAATTTCCATCTTTCTGCTGAAATTCCCTATCAGTTCATGGATGTTGTCCATCTTTTTCACTAGACCCCTTAACATAAATGTATTAATTATTGTTAAAGTTCCTGTCTGATTAAACATCTAGCTCATCTCAGATTCTGGTTCTCTTAAATACTTTATTTCTTGACAGTGGGTTGTTTTTTTCACTTTTGTGTGTGTCTTGAAATTTTATATTGAATGGGAGTATGTTAGTTTCCATTATTGTCATGAATTGGGCTGGATTTTAATTCTGTTGCTCTGCACCATGGGCTTCAAATTCCTCCAGCAGTGGGCTGCTGTTACCTTGTGATTTGAGGTTACCAGAGGGCTCCCCTCAGTGTTTTGGCTTCACCCTCATCTTTCAGCTGCTTCTGCACATGCTTGCCACGGGGGGGCTCTCTCTTCAGAGCATTCCTCACCTGCAACACTAGATGGCTGCCACTTGTTTCCTGGAGCCAGGCTAATGGTGAGGGCAAGTGGGGTTCTTGGAGCTCCTGGTGCAGCCTCAATCTTAGGCAGGACTCTGTGAGGACAGGGCTTTTTTAGTGTCCCTGCCTCTCCTCTCTGTAGCAGCCAAATTTCACCTTGTTATCTTGTGATAGGTCTTGAGCAGGAGATATTGTTCTGCTCCTCTTAGAGAGGTAGTGATCTTTACTTTATTATCAGTACAGGGTCCTGCGCCCAAGAGGGTTTCCTGCTATTCCGCTAGGAGCAGGGAGTTTTTACTTCTACCCTCCTCCAGAAGCAGTTGATCTTTGCCTGGTTCCTGGTGGCAGGCATAACTCCTGCTCCACTTCTTACAGCTTGAGACTTTTGCTTCCTATGAGAGAAGGTTGTGGGGAAAAGTATCCACATTTCACGCTTATCTTTCAGCACAGCCAGTCAGCTCCCTGCCCCTAGTCTTTCTTGTGAGCACTGGGTGGAATCCCCTGGAAAAGAGTGTGCATGTGAGTATGAAATCTTCTTGTGCCTGGGGCTACCAGAAATTCTAAACTGACACACTTTCCCACATTTAGCCTTTACTAATTCATTAAAATTTTAGCTAATTTTTTCTTACCTTCATGTATGGTAGCCACCTCTTCCTTCCATGCTCTGCCAAAGGTGAAACAGTGTTGCCTCTCTGCTTAAAGGGATTTGTCACTTTTTGGAGTTCAGTTCACTTGGTTGCTTTATGACCTCAGCTCTTTGATGGACTTAAGAAAAGTTATGGTTTTGTAGATTATTTGGCTTTTTGTCGTTGGTTAGGGTAGGAGCCTCTCTTGCAGCTTTCTACATCCTAAGAAGAAGCAGAACTATAAATTGGTGGTTTTTAAAAAATGTTTTGGCTCTGAAATCCTTCGTTTAATTAAATCTTACATAGAGCTCAGCTGGAACCTTCCCCCATGCCTACCCCTGGCACTTGCCCTCCTCTCAAAATACTAAAGAGTTTCTGTAGAGTGCAATTTGAAAATCGTTGGCCTCAGTTATTCCTGATATACTTTATCATTGTCAAATATATAAATTTAATCTCCTTGACCAATTGTTTGGCCCAGGCTTGCTCATCTCCTGCTTTCTCTTTAATATAGGTGCTTATGGAAACTCTAGGTGCTCTGGGGGCACAGTGCCGATGGGCTGCCTGCAACATCTATTCCACTCTCAATGAAGTGGCTGCTGCTCTAGCAGAAAGTGGTAAGATCTTTTTCTTGTTCTCTAGTAAGTCTCTGAAAAGTTCCATCGTTGTGCTGCATGACCACGTTTGGGTTAACAACGGTGGTCCCATAAGATTAGTACCATATGGCCTAGGTGTGCAGTAGGCTATACCATCTAGGTTTGTGTAAGTACACTCTATGATGCTCACACAATGCAAAATCACCTAATGACACATTTCTGTGAACATTTCTAGAACGTATCCCCCCTTGTTAAGCAACACATGATTGTATAAATCTTTAAGGAAGATCAACATAAAAGGAGCTGTCTTAGAAAAAATGGATCCCTATTCTTGATAAGTTTGCTCTCTTTTTGGGCTTCTCTTGTTTAATATGATCTAGACAACTTTATTGTTTTACAGTCACAAATATCTTCTTATGTCTAATACTCCATTATTAGTTAATGCATTGCCTTGACTTGCTAATATTAGAGTACCAGTGAACACTGATCACTGATTAAGGTAATATAGATTAGAAAGGAAAATGCTTCAGGCATAGTTTTGTGATCCGGCTGGTTTTTCAGCAGTTTGCCCTGATTCAGTGTTTGGTGTTTCTGCTTCAGCAGTTAACAGGTCTTGACCTGGCAAATTAATATTTGATCACACTGAGACTTGAAGGACAAAAGAAATAGAGAAATTTGGACTTCATCAGTTTCTTGTCTTTATTCTCTGGCAGCACAACACAGATCATGGTATCAAACTCTTGCTTCAGAGCTCTTGAGAAATGCTGGGCAAGGTATATAGTGCATGCATGTCCCTCCTCCTGCTAGCACTTTGAACATTTCATTGGTTCTTTCATTTACATTGATTCATTTATAAAATTTTTATTAATGAATAAAATATGTATAAAAAAGTGCACAAATATTAAATATGTAGCCCAGTGAATTGTACATATGCATTCGTTTCTTTTTTTTTCCCCCAACAAATGCTTATTGACCTACTCTAAAAGATACAGGGACAAATGAGACAGTGTCTTTGCCCTCACAATCTTATATTGTGGTTGAGGAGAAGACAAATATATAAACAATGATAATACAAGGATATAAAGGATTACACATTCAGTACACAAACAAGGGGCTTATAACAGTTCAAATTCCATGAGAGATCACTTCCAGTTGAGTTGATCAGGCTTCATTAGGAACATGACACTTAACTGGCCCATGAACTGTAATAATATTTTAATAGATGGAAAAGAGTGTAAGAGTTTTCCTGATGAAGAGGATGGGATGACTAAAGTATAGAAGCAAGAAAGATCAAAGTATAGTTGGGAAATGATGAGGATTCCAGTTGGACTAGATAAAGAAGTACTTATTTCTGGTTTCTTCTTTTTCTCTTTAGTCATATTTTTAGCATCCATCATACTCTTATCCCTTTTCTTTGTCCTCTTTGTCTAACAAGAGCAAAATGACCCAAAGACAAAAGAATGGAGCAAGGGGCTGAAGACAGTACTAAGCAGTGAAGAAAGTCAATCCAAAGAGTGCAGCAGAACAAGAGAGTTTGGAATTGGGGAAAACCAGCATTTTCTTCCCAAAATTTAGGGTCAGACCTTTTTTCAGACTTTAATGGTTTCTCTTTGTTCCTTTTCCTCAGGATTTCCTGTCTTTGCCTGGAAAGGAGAGTCAGAAGATGACTTTTGGTGGTGCATTGATAGATGTGTGAATGTGGAAGGCTGGCAGCCGAACATGGTGGGTTTGATTTCTGCTAACACAATTCTTTAGGGGCTTGGCAGGGCACAGAGGAGGAGGCTGTAGCCAACAGGAAGGAAGGAAAATGCCTCCTTTTCTATCTGATGTATCTAGGCTTCCAACAGAACTAGATGCTTGTGCTTAGGGTACTCCAAGAATATTGAATCTCCTTATAGGCTCAAAGTGCTGTAATTGTCGGTGCTGATCTTAGAAGCACTCATATTCATCAGCAACGTTAAAGTAATGCTCAGGGATCACACATGGCTGGTTAAAAAGTGAGATTAAAGAGTTACCATTCCCTACCACTGCTCACCCCCCCACCCCCCCAACAACAACAATAATCAAAACACATACACATATATACACCTCCCGTGTTACTTAGCTTTCTCTCTAGAATCATATGCTAAATTTATAGTGAACCTGAAGGGATTCCAAGTTCAAATTTCTTCTCTTTATTCATTCCCCACCTTAAGAAAGATGACTAGGCAAAGTCTTGGTTTTTTTATTTTTGCTTCATTTTTATTTTTGTTTCGTTTTTTAGAAGATCAAGTTCTTGAAGGCTGATAGCATATTAGATTCACAAGAAGAAGCAAAAAGCTGCACAAAATATGAGGCACTCCTATTTTGCAAACATTTCTGCATATGAGTAAGAGGAGGAATTAGGGAATCAACTGAAAAAAGAATCCTTGAAGCTCTAGTCCAACTATTCCTTGCTGCTAAAGACTGCAGAGCAGGGGCCGGCCCCGTGGCTTAGCGGTTAAGTGCGCGCGCTCCGCTGCTGGCGGCCCGGGTTCGGATCCCGGGCGCACACCGAGGCACCGCTTCTCTGGCCATGCTGAGGCCGCATCCCGCATGCAGCAACTAGAAGGATGTGCAGATATGACATACAACTATCT